TTCTTTTTTTTTCATTATTTTCTTTTGTAGAATGGTGGAGCAAAAACTGGACATGATATGAATATTCAGCCAGCTTGGAAAAAAGGGTACACAGGAAAGAATGTTGTGGTTTCAATTTTGGATGATGGCATTCAGCCAAATCATCCAGACCTTGCTTTCAATTATGTAAGTCTTCTATTTGCATATCAAAAAGACAATGTTTTTCATTGTTTTTCAGTGTGTTTTTTTTTTTTTTTTGTTCTGTGAAATTGACGTGTCCTTACTCTTTAAAGGATCGTGATGCTAGCACTGATATCAATGATAATGATGATGATCCCACTCCACGAGACAATGGCGACAATAAACACGGGACAAGGTGTGCAGGAGAGGTAGCTGCAGTCGCCTTTAACAATTATTGTGGCATAGGTGTTGCTTACAATGCAAGTATTGGAGGTAAGTACCAAAATATTAATTAATTGACAAAACCAATTTATTTTGTTAAACTTAAAATACTAATTTTTTTTCATTTTGCCAAATTTACTTTTAAGGAGTTCGCATGCTTGATGGCACTGTAAATGATGCTGTGGAAGCAAGAGCCTTAGGTCTCAATCCAGATCACATTGACATTTACTCTGCATCGTGGGGTCCAGAAGATGATGGAAAAACTGTTGATGGACCTGGACCTCTCGCTAGAAGAGCTTTTATCTATGGGGTCACCAGTGTGAGTTATTTTCTTTACCCTCATAACCTATTGACATTGAAAAAATAGTACTTTCTAAAATGGAAATACTTTTTCTGAATCTCATAGGGCCGAAAAGGTAAAGGATCAATTTTTGTCTGGGCCTCTGGAAATGGTGGGCGTCACACTGACTCATGCAACTGTGATGGTTATACAAACTCTATATTCACATTATCTATTTCAAGTGCAACTCAAGCAGGGTAAGCAACAAACCCTTTACAGTACATCATAACAGCTGTAATTCTAAGGTATAAAATACCAATTTTACAAATATCTTATGATGTTTTCATATATTTTTCCTAGATTTAAACCGTGGTATCTAGAGGAGTGCTCATCCACACTTGCAACAACCTACAGTTCTGGAACACCAGGACATGATAAGAGTGTAGCAACTGTGGACATGGATGGTAGACTACGACCTGACCATATCTGCACAGTTGAGCACACAGGTAAGTTAAATTATTATAGTTTTCTAAATTCCTAGTGTCTTAAAGTTATAAAAAAAACAAGAAAAAATAATTTAAAATATTTTTGGTTTTTAGGCACCTCTGCTTCAGCACCCTTGGCTGCAGGAATATGTGCCTTGGCTCTAGAAGCAAACCCAGATCTTACATGGCGTGATATGCAGTATCTTGTTGTTCTTTCCTCAAGAGTTGAACCATTGGACAAGGAAAACGGATGGATTGTCAATGGTGTCAAGAGAAAAGGTACTTATATTTTTTTGTATTTGTTGACATAATATACCCAATTATATTTTTTAATTTATTACTTGCAACATTTTAAATTTCTAGTTTCACACAAGTTTGGATACGGTCTCATGGATGCCGAAGCTATGGTCAACCTTGCTGAGAAATGGACTCCAGTACCTCCCCAACATATTTGCAAAAGTCAAGAACTTGCTGAAGATCGGTATGAGTATGATGTCACAAATAATGTCTTAATCCTGTTAGGCCTCCCCTAATCAAACTTGTTCTTCTTTTTAATTTTAGTGTTATTGAGTCAACTTTTGGACAAACTTTGCAAGTGCACATGGATGTCAATGGATGTGCCAATTCTCTCAATGAGGTGAGAATATCTATCTATTGAAAAGACAAATTTTCAAAATTCACCTGTATGTGTATATTTATTACTACATTACTGTTTCTTCTATTATAGGTCAGATTCTTAGAACATGTACAGTGCAAGGTTTCACTTAGATTTTTCCCACGAGGTAACCTTCGTCTTTTGCTGACATCCCCAATGGGCACTACTTCTACTTTACTCTTTGAGCGGCCACGTGATGTTGTGAGCTCTAATTTTGACGATTGGCCATTCCTAAGTGTCCACTTCTGGGGTGAAAGAGCAGAAGGCAGATGGACATTGCAAGTTGTCAATGCAGGAAACCGACATGTTAACCAACCAGGTAACTTTCAAAACTTTTTTATTAGGTATTATAAGGTATTGTTTTTAATATAAATATAACTGTTGATCACCAGATGATAAAATTGGCTTTATTATTTTCTAGGTGTTTTGAAAAAATGGCAACTTATTTTCTATGGCACAAACACAAACCCTATACGGTTGAAGCAAAGTTATAGCAGCGGAGTCAGTGGGTCTGGGGCCTACTCAGGCTACTCATCTCAACCATCAGCCCCTCCAGCCAGCAGCTTTGTTTTCCCTGGGCCTCAAAGTGGCCCTTCGCCATCAGCTGTCCCCTACAGCGTTTTTCATGACTACTCAAGTGCATCTAGTGTGTACTCTGGCCAAGGAAGTGAAATTGACACAGCTATTTCAGATCCTAATGGCAGTGATGTTGAATCTGATAATCTTGTTGGTGCTGGGGAGGATTCTTCCAAACGTGTCTTGCATGATTGTGATGAGCAATGTGACTCACAAGGTTGCTATGGGAAAGAACCCCATCAGTGTATATCCTGTAAAATCTATCGCCTGGATAATACATGTGTGTCAAGATGCCCACCACGGAGCTTCCCTAACAGTGGCGGCCGATGCTGGCCATGCCATGAAACCTGTGAGACTTGTGCTGGACCAGGTCAGGACAGTTGTTTGACATGTGCTCCCGCACACCTGCATGTGACCGATCTGGCTGTGTGCCTGCAGCAGTGCCCTGAAGGGTACTATGAAAGTAAGAAAATTATTCTAAAAGTTCTGAAAAATTCTCTATTTTGTCATGTTTATGAAAATTGGTTGTAATGTCAATATTTATATTAATTTCCAGACTTTGATCAGCGCACTTGTGTCCCTTGTGAAGCCAATTGTGCTAGCTGTCAAGATAGACCCGATTTCTGTACCAGCTGTGATCATCATCTTGTGATGCATAATCATACTTGTCTAGCATCATGCCCAGACCATACCTATGAAACTGATGATTACAAGTGAGATACTACTTCTGCTAATCGTCTTTTCCCCCAATACTCAAAATCCAATTTAAATTAATTGAATTCTTCTGTTTGTACCTAGCTGTGCTCCTTGTCATTCATCATGTGACTCATGCTCGGGCCCTGGAGAGGACCAGTGTATTACATGTCGCCCAGGCCACTTTGCCTTGGCAGGCTCCAAATGTCCTCAGGAGTGCCCAGAGGGGTGGTATGCTGATAAGAAAAGGCGAGAGTGCCTACCTTGTCAACCAGGGTGCACCTCATGTAACAGTGGGTTGTGCAATTCATGTTCTGCTGGATGGAAACTTAATAAGAAGAGCCGCTGTGTTCCGGAAAATAGCAATCGTTGCCAAGCTAGTAAGTTTATTCTGATTATTTGATTACTATTTCAATTTTTATTTCTGAATTTGAACCATCTACAATCTACTTTCCATTTCTTCCAGTGGAATATTTTGAAGTAACTCATGAGATTTGCCAATCATGTCATAAATCCTGTGAGGCATGTGGAGGACCGGGATCTGAGTCTTGTCTGAGCTGTGTGTCACCACTTGTCCTCTCTGGTGGTCGATGTGTAGGAGATTGCCCCAAAGGCAGTTTCTTGGAGCAGGGTCGATGTGTGCCATGCCTTCACACATGCACTGCCTGCGAGTCACGGCTCAATTGTACCTCCTGTGTACCAGGCCTTCACCTTCAAAATGGAGAATGCAGATCAACATGTGCTGATGGGTATGTCGTTTGACGGCAAAGACCAAATCAAAATCAAATTTTTTTTTCATATGAATGGGATCTGACTATTAAACTGTTTTTTTCTTTTCTTCTAGGTACTACAGTGATCGTGGACTTTGTAGCAAATGTTACCTGAGCTGTGCCACTTGCTTAGGCCCACGCCGTGACCAGTGTGTCACTTGCCCTAGAGGATGGCAACTAGCTGCTGGCGAGTGTCACCCTGAATGTCCTGAAGGTTTCTTCAAATCTCACTTTGGTTGTCAGAAATGTCATCATTACTGCCGCACTTGCAAAGGTATGTGTAATATGTCAAGTGCTTTCAATAATTCCTGACTGTAAAAAATGAGAAAATGCACCTTGGATAAATGGCTTTGGTATTTCATTATGGTGCTAATAAAGGTGTGGGTATTTTCCCCATTCTTTGTTTCAGGTGAAGGACCTTTGGAGTGCACATCATGCCCTCCCAGGTACACACTGGAAGGTGGCCTCTGCATGGAGTGTCTAGGTGGACAATACTACGATGCTGCTACCCAATTGTGTCGTCCGTGCACAGATCCCTGTCGCACTTGTTCCGGACCGGGATTCTCATCATGCACAGGATGCCGTGACCCCTTACAGCTAGATCCCAGGACCAAACAATGTGTGACTTGCTGTTCATCTTTAGGTGAAGCCAACTGTTGCATGTGTGATCCCCAGACTGGTAAGATATTTTCATTCTCTGAGCCTCTTTATGTAATTTCATGTGGATTATGCATGATTGTAAGGATACAACTTACTATCTGGTTTTGCTTTCCTCTAAAAAAATTCACTTGTTCTTTTTCATGTTCTTTTCTTTTCTTTGAATTATTGGAAATCATTTTCACGAAACCTTTCCATTTCGGTGGCTTCTCACAGGCAAATGCATGTCGGGTTCTGCCGGCAAACGCCGCATAGCTGATGAGCAGAGTTATCCTCCAGCTCAGTCTGAGGGTACTGTGAGTTTCTCGAGTCCTCTGGCTGTTATTGCAATTTGTTCTGGCCTAGTGATAACCCTAGGCGTGCTTCTTCTCTTTGTGCAGGTGAGTAAGCTTGTGGGGGGTTCTGGGGCTTTTATTTGTTTAAATTGGACTTTTGAGATGTAGTGCTATATCAATATGGGTTTGCATATTCTTACTGAGCCAACAGGAATTTTATTTTAAGTGGATGCCCTTTTTGTTAATGTCCTTGTATTCTACTCTACATTAATACCCCCTTTTTTTTTTTTTTGCTCTGCCTTGCAGGCTTGTGTACGTAATAATCGTCGATCAAAGGCTTATTACGGACAATTAGCAACATGTGAAGTAGACAGTCATATGTCATTAGGCCGGCCAAATGAAAAAGGATCCAGCCTAGATTATGGAGAGGGAACAACCCTTTTACATAATGAGTACTGTGATTATGATGATGATGCAGGTGACAGTGATGAAGAAGAAATTAATGTATCCAGTAAAGGACCTACTATTCGCACTTAAACTTTATCTCTGCAGTTACTTCTATCAGAGCCCTTGGCTTTGTGAAGCAATTTATGGAAGGTCGTGGACCAGTGGATTAGTTACTGCAAACTGTTCTCAATGAGGTACTGAATGGACCGAAACAAAATGAAATTGTAATGATCTTTTTAAGGGTCATAGGGTAATGCCAGTTGTAATATATTTTGTTGGAATTTGAGCTGATAGTCTAAGGCTTTTACTTTTACCTCTTTGTACAAGTGTTGGTTCAACTCCATTTTTATTCAAAGCTGACTTTAGGGGGGAGTCAACCCTGTCTAGAAAATGAATTGCAATGACTGATTCATGAGTCTTGGAAATTTATCCTTCAAGCAATGCTCTATGTTTTAGGCAAAGAAGAAGAAATGAGCAATTTTCCATTTGTAAAGGGGTGTAAAATTGCTCAAGGAAAAACATTTTTGGCAGATGAAGAAGATTGCTGTTTTTGCATTGTTAAAGTTGTAGTGGTAATCTTTACCAACTGCACATGCAAAATCTCTGTGATATTAATTTAAAAAGGAAAGGGAACGCTACTACAGAGTTTAAACTGTGAATAATGAAGTGATTGGTATCCATTCTGAGCGTGTTCCTTTGAAAGTCAACCGGGGCTCTAGTATCATGGCCTAGACATACTACATTTATGATATTAAGATTTGTTATACGTACGTAATGAATGGGCTATTATTTGTCTGTGCCAATCTGAAATTAGTACACTAAGCAGTTTTAGACTAAATATATTAAAAATGTTGCTAGTGCTTCATTTGATATTTGGTCCCTCATAGATAGTGATTCAGATTCACAACTCAGACCTGTAGAAATAAAAGAGAAATCAAAGATGAATTGTGTGATACCTTGTTGTCCCTTTCTGTATTCCTAATGTGATATAAGTTTCATTTTCTCAACTACAAATCATGAAACCAACAACCAACATATTCTTCTATAAACCTGCAATGGTGACTCAATAGTAATACTGTTTTGTTGGCTTTAAAAGGATTTTAAAATATTATAAACCGTTTAGTGAACTGTATTGCATTCATTTTTTCTGTACTCTGTACTTAATGGTATACACCAAAAAATCAAATAAATATGGTTTCATGATTGTCGTTTAAACACTTATCTGTCCCCTCAGCAAGAGAACCTCATGGAGTGTAAAATCTTTGTTCTTTGAAGTTTTCCCTTTTGATGTATTACTGTACCTTTGTAGAATTGTTTTTAACTATTTTTGTTTTGTGTTATTATTTAAGTAATAATCCTTATGCCACTCATAGGAGCTATTTAATTCTGAGAGGGTGCTCAGCAAGTCAAAAGACTACAAATGTTTTCAGGAATACAATTACACATTATGTGAAGACTTTTCAAGCATATCAGATTTGAAGCCTTTATTCATCTTTATCTCATTTGAGGGTGAGATGGAGGATATACAAATTGTTCTAGAATAGAAAATATTTGGATCAATCTAAAAAAAAACATGTTGGTTGATCACAATGAGTGAGTTTTGTAATGATTTGGTTTTGCCATTCTACAAATTACTGCATTCTTGCATATAGCCTTGGAATTTTAATTTTAGATCAGAAATGTGAAGTTAATGGTGTTAATGCAGTTCAGGTTTATTTCTGTCTTTGTGAATGTTCAGTACTTTTCAATAGTAAAACATGAAATCCGGACACAAGAAGTCCCGAATGATTTAGTGCTTATATTTTTCTAGACCTGTGATAATAATCATGATCTTCCTCAATGATTTGGTACCAGGAAGAAAATACTTTGCATTTGTTAATGTGATACTCCATATGTGGCATTCATTCTACTTTGTCAATACAGGGTGTTCGACAACAGCTGGTACAATGCTAGTACGCTTTCTGTACCAACTCTTTTTGGACACACACTTCCGTTACCTCATTCATGGCAGTAAGATAACTGACTTGTGAAATGTAGTAGCAAAACAAAAAAATAAAAATAATAATAA